TTCCAAAGGAGTAACAGCAGAGAAGGAAGATCAGAAATCTCAAAATTTCCACCTACTCACTTTTAGAAGGACTGACCCAGGATCCAAACGATCTAGTCTAGTGGTGGGTGATGCCAAATCTTTACACAGTGGGTAAAGTCACAGTGGGTCTCTCGATGTACAAAGGTGACCATGAGCAGGGCCAGAACCAATAATGACAAGGTTATAGTAAAGGTAATGATATTTCCTACATTGTCACTGATCTTCACATAACAGGTCAGCAAGAACTACTCTGTACCACAACCTTCTTGTTACGTGGCAAACCAAAGAGGATCTCCCCCTGCCTAGGAGATTCATTGCAGGGAGAATACTAAATCTTTGCCCCATTAGAGGTTTCCTTATTCTGAGCACTTTCAGCATTTCCTTGTTGCCAAAGAGCAAACAATCTCCTAACCAAGGCCCACCCTTAGTCGTACAAGCCCTTGCTATAGAGTTGTCCAGTGAACACTGGGCACTATACTGGTAACAACTGAGAGGAACCAATCAGTTCTAATTTAATCAAAGTTATACTGGACCTGCCTTTGCCACTGGGGCCAGTGCTACTGAGACTTTCTGCTACTGCCCATACTACCAGAACAAGACAATGGCAACTACTGGGGCCTAAATGGCCCCCAGTACCAGGGAATAAAGATGGCATGGGGCCGTATAGATATTGGAGGAGTACAATAAACACTGTTCCTGCTACACTCTAACTATGACCCCAAACGCCACAGTAATGCTGCCTCCCTATAGCAAGGAACAAGCCACTACTAGGACATGACATTTCTACCCCATATAGTAGAAATAGGTTTGCTCCCATTTTACGCCTGGTGATCCTGAGCCTGCCTGAAATCAATTCAACATCATGGGATGATGCTGCTATTGCCCTCTACACTAAAGCAATGATCCTCCACTTTTACCCAGGCCTGATTCTGATTCCTGATGCTGGGGCAGAGATACAAGCAAAAATAAAATAACAAGCCAGAGATCCCTATAGGCCAGACATGTGTTCTGCCATGTTTAACCAATAGCAGTGTTCTTCCAGGGTTGGAGAGAGTTCCTGGGCCCTCAGAAAATGGGCACAACACTCCATCCATGAAATTGATTGATGTGCAATTGGTACATACATCCACATCTTCAATTCTAGAAACATTTCTGGACCATTGTAAAGAATCCAGCAATTTCCTCTCTAACACCTCTTCTATAAAGTACATATACTTATGGCCCCAAAAAGTTTCACCAGTTTTCTCTAATGTTGAAAATTACAGTCCTAGGGAGTGAAAATAGGGATCTAGGACTACCATCTAGAGGGACTGAAACCACTATTACCAATAAGTAATTTTCTTTTTTTTTTTAACAAATTTAAACACCAACAGTTACCTCCAGTATTCTTCAGTATACACTTCTTAATGACACTGAACATATTGAAGTCAGTCCCTCCTTGAATTGCCAGATAGTTTCCCATATTTCAGAAACAGAATAAGCACATCTTTTCTAGAGGTATCACTAAAAATACCATTAGAAGTTTGGAAGATAATCTTGATTCATCTTCCTCTGCACTGCCAAAAAGTCATTCCATTCCAATCTTGCAAAACTCTTGCAAAATGTTCTAGGACAAGTATGACTCAGGCCAGTCTCTTGGTAGCTTAGGTTGAATACTGGAATATGGGTCATTCAATAGTTACCAAAAGAAAATTTACTTAGCCATAGCAGGGAAAGGATATTCCACAAAGATTATGCACTAAGAGGATGAGTTAATTCAGCTGAGTGAAGCTCCTTGGCTTCTGGGTTATCACAGTGCACTAGCCAAAATTTAGAAGGGCGGTTCTTAAGCTGGAGCCCATGAATATACTAATATTTTGATAACTGGCATTCAATACAATTGGTTTCTTTTGTGATGCTATGTATTTTGTATTATCAACTTTAAAACATTTTTCTGAGCCGTTCATAACTTGACCAGACCATCAGAGTTCATGACATAGTTTTGAGGCTGAGTTCTTCATCCTCTATGCATGATATATACAAAAATACCATTTACTATTACTTCTTCTGACTAGGGCACCTACATTCACCATAAACAAAATCAAAAATCAACAATAACAGCAATGTGGAATATTGACACATTTTTAAAAGAAAATGAAAATACAAGACTCATTCCCAAATAGGTCAAATGAAATGAACAGGCAATTTTCAAAAGGAAAAAAATGTAAGCTATCATAAACCAAACCATTAAAAATGAGAAATTAAACTGAATGATAAATTTTGGTAGATCTGGGCTATCAGTTTAGGCAAACAATTAGGGAATTATGCACTTACCCCACCCCATCCAAAAAAAAGTGTCACTTAACCATATATGACAGACACCAACTTCAGAATCGGGGAAGACCTGGTTTCATTTTTTACACTAGTTACTAGTTGAATAACCTCAGCTGGGTAACTTAACTTTAGAACATATAAATAAGAATTAAATGAAAAATTCAGAGAAACTGGAGACTTGTATAAACAGATATGTAATAAAGAAAGCAGAATAAGGGAAAAACATGACCACACCAATTTAAATGAAACCAACAATGAATCACTTTAAAGGATGGATCACTTTAAAGAATACCCCTTATCGGGAGTAGCGGTTCATGAGACTGCATGTGTGATTTTCATTTCATTTTCAGACATGGCCAATGAGTTGAATTTCATTGCTTAGCTACACTTACTTATTAAAAGAGGCATCTATGATGAGATGGGAGTCACTGAGAAGTGACAGTGATATTTTAAAAAGAACGTCAATGTAAAATTTGAGAAAAAAATCTGTTGTCCATAATAGCAAAAATGTTTTTGCTACAGTAGACAACTCACTGTCAATTAAGAAGTGGTGCTAGTTTCCTTTGCAATATTATATACATTCTGTACCTATGATCAAGTTACAATGCTGCCAAGAATAAACACTGAAACTCAGTAAATAGAAAATATTCTTCTATGGTCAGTTTTTAGTCCCAAACACGTTTAGTCTTTAGACAGCTATGAAGTGTTAGTAGGTAATTTCGAAAATAGAAAAATGGTTATATTTATTGTTAAAGGAACTACTTATTTACACTTTTGACTATGGTTTAACATCTTAATATTTAATTAATAAAGTATTAGTTTAGTGGTGTTGGTACTATAAGGATAGAGACTGGAACTGTAATTTCAATGATTCAAAGAAGTGCTAGATCAGGAAAGCCTAAGAAAGGCCAAGGTCACCCAGCCAGTAAATATCAGTAAATATCTTCTTGGTCCAAGGCCAGCTCTCTAGCATATATTCCAAGCAAACCAAAGTGTTATAATAGCAAAACTGAATTTGGAGACCCACACATATGTACACCTTCCGAGCTGCCTTGAGAACCAGAAGCTGGTTCTCAAATATTACTCATCCTTGGACCCATATTTGAATATATACCCCTGTCATAGTCTTAAAAAACTCAGGGTCATCTCCACCCCCAAAAGACCAGGTTTTACTGGAAGAATTTTTCAATAGCAAAAACATTAGTGAATCTCTATCATCATAATTCAATATCTACCATACATAATACAGATTCATGCTAGTGGATAAATCCTTTTGATCACAGAAAATTCAGATTCTGTACAAGCAAAATAGACGCAGAGCAAAAAATTGGAGAGTAGATTCACTTTGAAAAGATACCATTTCTGACAAAAGTGTGACAAAAGGAGCTGTTCACTGGCACATAAACCACACCCTCCACAAGCAAAAATCTCCCCTTTTTACTGACCCTTTCAAATATCACCCTGGAACTGAGTTCATTTTAGGCACTGTTCGGATGGGTTGGCATCGCCTTGAACATTCTCAGTCAGGGTTAATCTCATTTCCATTTTTTAAAAAGCCAGCAGTCTGCCATAAGGTAGTTACTAATATTTTGTGATACCAACACATAGAAATACACAAAATAAGTAAAAAATTTCTAAGTCAAAAAGGAAGGTAGACTTAGCTTTGGAGTAACGATGAGTAACAAAACAGATTCACATAAAATGACTGTAATCCTCAACTTCTTGGTCCTAAGTTCCCTCCCAAATAAGTTATGCTGTTGTTAACAGCCTGAGATTTGGTGAGGCAGTGGCAGAAAACATTATGAATCACCAATGAAAAAATACTATCAGATCATTAATTAATAGGGAAAGAAATTTTGGACAGTTCCTTTCTAGGTACAGTTCACTACACACAAAGGCCTGTCCAGAAAAATGGGGGTTATGAGTTGCATATGGTACTATGTCTTAATCTCAGATCTGGAAACTAAACATAACAATGTTTAAACAAACAAGACATACCAAAATTTTTAAAGCTCATGTTCTTGTTGTTAAACACTTTACTATCTTGTATTTTCACCATTAGCAATCACTATAAATATCTGTCTAGCAGAAACTGGTGCCTGTTCTTTTCACATTTAACTGAATGGCCTATCCAAAATATGAAAGTTCAGAAACAAGATGAGAACTGTTTTCAGGGAAACATGCATTTATTATTAAGCATTCCCAGTGAAAAAAAATCAACATCTTTTAAAATGTGTATTTATTTTTAAAAAATCATTTGTGTACAAAAGTGTTTTGTAGTTTTTATTCTCAAGACAAATTCCACTCCCCCCACCCACTCCCCGCCCTTCTTCCCCTTCCCACCCAAGACAAAAGACACACATCCCACCTCCACTACTTCAATGTTATATGGGTGTTCTCCCTTTACAAGAAGTTAGTGGCTCAAAACAAAGCCTCCTTACAAAATTCATTATCACTAACAATTTTTAAAAATTTGGAGAAGCTAAGAAGCCAGGTTCTTTCTGGCTAAAGTTGAATATTCCTATAATGGCAGTAAGCTTCCAGCAGACACCACAACAAAGCACCATCGGCTGCTGAAATCTGCAAAATTGATATATTTTCAATAGAATTCTTTTTCTATTGAAAAGTCTTTAAATTACATTAAATAAATCTCTTTGCCCCAAAGAAATTGTCTAGTTTTTATTATGATGCCTAGAAAAGGTAGGTAACAGCAAGCAGACAAGGATAATAGTACAGTGCAATGATTTGTATCCATTTATCCCCTGGAACCAATCAGCAAACTAGTGCCAACCTTGATTATGTAGAATAGCATGAGTGAATTAACCAAGCAAGAGGGAACACATCAACAACTGACATTTAAGCTGATGATTTGTAATGGTAGATCAGATCAAAGTAATAAAAAATAAAAATGGGGAAAATGAGCTATTAATTTTTAAGGTTTCTGATCCATTTTGTAATTCTCAAAGTATCATCATGTGGTACCACGTAGACATCACAGAAAAATCATACCTGAAAAAAAGAGGCTATATATCAGTACATACTTCAGGTTGCCTTCTTCCCCAGAAAGTCATTGCCTGACATTAAGCATTTATTTTAAATTAATGCTAAAAACCTGAAAAGGTAAAAATTTTAAATTAAGTTATTTTGTACACCAATATTGAAATTCCTAAAACTAGAAAGAGCTATTAAGACTAAACATTTTCACAGGAATTCCATGAATTTAAAATCAACTGTGAGCAAATGGCATCCTTTTGCACTTTTAAAACATTGCCACCACCTATTTAGCCAATATACACAAAGAAGGTATACCTGGATCTAATTTATCCGGTCTAATTCATCTTTATTTAAAGAGAAGGACTATATTCAGTTCCTGTGCTTTACCCGCCAAAAGAGGTGTTATCTACTTCTCCAGGAATAGTGTCAATTCCCCATTGCATTTTTAAAAGCCCTATATCAGGTACACACTGACAGCAAAGGCTTGCTTTTCACATTAAGCAGCAAATGTCTTTCATCCGCTAGAGTGCTGCGTTCTGTAGTGCATAAACAAAACCACTTCCCTTTTAAATGCCAGCTCTTCACAGTTTCTTTTTAAAAGAACTTTGCATAGTTTTTAAGTATAGCCAACAACTACATTAACTGCCAATATGACATGCTTCAAAATCAATCTTATTTTAGATTCAAAGTTTTTAATCACAAAAGCAAAATACCAAGGGACTCCCTAGCCAACTATACTGAAGTTCATCTATTCTTATAAGTTGCATTTGTTTAAGTGAACTTATATTCACAACGATAAGCATCTTTGGGAGTCAACTCTCAGCAGCTAATTTAGTACCAGATTCTTTTAAATATTTACATACTGCACTAATTCTTCTGTCACAAATTATTTTCCAGTCATTAAAAAAAAAATGAAGTGAATGAATACTGTACAATTCACCATTCTACTAAAAGTCAGGCATGTTCCACAAAATTTGTACTTAACAATAATAAAACCTATTTGGTTGGAATGTCAGCTTTCCCTAGTAACTCTATCTGCTCCAAATAGATTTGTATTTTGTGTTTATGTTTTGTAAACCTTTAAAAATACTAAACAACCCAAAAATGCAATTAGGAATCTATCTTCTACCAGGGCGTCTCTTTGTTCCCAAATCTGCATTCTTTAAAAGTGCCCTTGTTCCAGGTTTTTGTTTTTTAAAGAGAGAACAAGGCAATTTTGTCAGTTATTAAATTTAGCAATAAGGAAGAAATACATTTTATATCTATATAGACATATATATAATACACAACAAAAAGAAACTATGAGGGAAGAGTAAAGAGGGACTTCTGCAGTGTAAGTATAAGGTAAATTAAATTGAGGACTCCCTTGTGGAAAAGCTCCTCAGTGTCAAGCATGATCACATTTTCAGATTCCCTAGGGAGCTTTGAGCTACATAGTATCTGACGTGTACTTACTGAATGGGACCCATTTGAGGCTAAAGCATCTAATCAAAGGCAAGATTCATCTGTCTTCAAAAAACGAAGGCATGTAATTCTTGTTCTTTAACAATCTCCCAGTTCTCTCTTTATTGACAATTTTTGTATCCTAGCAATATTTAGAAATGGTAAACTGGGCAGATGTATTTTAGTTAAAAAAAAAAAAAAAAGAATGCTCACCACATAATCCTATGACTAAGGTTGTATAACAAAAAAGCAAACTGAGATTTGACCAAGAGGAAATGAGGGGAAAACATCCATAATTCCATACTACTCTAATACCTCAAAATACAAATTAAAAGTCCTTAATTGTTTAAAATAAATAAAGAGAAAAGATAATTTCCTTTGGCATCATCAGAAAATAAACTGGGCTACAACAAACAATAAAAGGTGATTGTGTAGGAAAAACCTCATGCTTAAGCAAACAGTATAGAAAAAACAGAGACTTGTGTTTAGTATGATGAACTAAGAGTTTACTGTTGATTAGGAAATTTTTGGAAGAACTAGGTTCTCTTTAATTTCTTATTCTAACCTTTTAATATATTTAATAATGGTTCTTATTGCTTCTAGTATCAAGAATACAAAAAAGTCAAATATGAAGTAACACCAAACTCATGGTTCAAAAAGAATTATGTCTGCATCTTTTAAAAACTGTTATGGTTTAGATTAATAACCTGTTGGGGAATGGAAGCTTTGTAATCTAATCCAGTCTGCCAACTTTACTTTCTTCAACTGACCTAAAAATTTCATACAATAGTTAGTATCTGAAGTATATGCCTATTTGCATAAAGTTAATTCAACATTCAATAAATGGTCACACTGATATCTGAATTTGCAAAACTAATAATTTTCAAACTTTTGAATTCAGGATGAAATGTCATTTTAATACGAATAGAAAGTCTGACTGTATGTACACAAGAAAGTAAGATTTTTCAATTCTTGTATTATCAGAAACATCATAAAGAAAGCTAGATTTATAACACACTTCTATTTCTTTCTATGTGCATTTGAAGTATGTACAGGAAAACATTAACACAGCTTCCATGTGTCAACAAGGGGAAAATGTAAGCAGAAGTGAAATTTTAAGTACCTGATAAGCAATCCCTACAATGAAGCCCAAAATAATAGAAAACTGTTGCAAACTGTTGATTGCATCAAAGCAAGTACTCAAAAAAAACCTTCAACTGCTGAGACAGTTTTTAAAGAGTGTCCAAACAGCGAAAATTAAGTTATGTTCTTCCCATAATTACAGGAAAATCACAACATTAAGAATATACTGGTCTAAGAAGAAACAAAATCAGTAGCCCCATCTTTGCACCACCTCTAATACATGAAAGTCCCAAGACTGTATTTAAAGTATAATGACAAAATATTCCAAATATATCATCTGAAAATGGAACATAAGCAACTATAAATGGCACATTCTCAACCAGAAACAAGGGAAAAATAAATTTACCATTAGAATTTAGATACGTAAAATGAAGAGAAAGTACGTGTGGTGTCCCAATCCAATGACAGGGATGGAAAAGGTTCTGAATAGGTCACCATTTTCAACTTTGGGTAAGTCTTTAATTTTCTAAGCACACAAATATTTAAAATGGTGCTCTCTTCAGCTACCAGGTTCTAAGAGGTCTAGTAAAGTACACGCATGCAAGTAAATTCACAGGCACAGAAGATCAAGGTTAAAAACATGAAGGTAGCTGTGATGAATGACATCAACAATTTGGATGGCCTTACTAAGTTCAAAATATTACTTAAATAATTATTCAACAAAATCCTGAAGCAAACTCTTGCTAGTCTTGGTCACACCACTAAATGCTAAAGTAGCATGTTTTGTTTTTCCATAGTCTTAGCTGAGCTCAAAGAATTTTTACACTATTCAGTAAGAAAAAAAAATTAAAGTATTTCCCCTTTTTAAATTTACACAGACGTTTAATTAGCTTTATTTACAGAGCAGGGTTTTTTGTTTTTTTTTTCAGTCTTCAATCATGCCTAGGTAATAATTAGGCAAGAATGCCAGTTTTAAAACAATCTATGCAGAATTCTAAAAATAACAGATGGTGATGCTCCTCAAGAAGGGGGCAAACTGGACTACAGCAGCAGCTTTCTCTCTATGCCTCAGTTACTCAGAAGCAGTTCTGTTGCAGTCTCTACGTCCCATGATTTTGAAGACAAGGCCACTATTACTGCATTCTGGAGAGAAAAGAAATGGGGAAAAAAATCAAATCCCGAAGTAACATTTCTAGAGCATTTTCAGTTACTGTTTTTGAATTGGTATATCTTATGTAAAGTTTCTTTCCGAAAATATATTTACCTAATACAACTATACTACATGCATATATAACAAATATAAATCTTTTAAAGCAAAGAACTGGTTTAGTTGCTGGGATTTTTATTTTATTTAAATGAAGATATAAAGGAAACAGATAATTTATTAGCAAACATCAACTAAAAGTGGTTGACAGAAACAGTAAAGATCACCTCAGCAGCTTTTCTAATCCCTCTCCATGCCACCAAGCAATAATAAAACAAAAACTAGCACATATGATATGTACTTACCCTATCAAAGCCCATAGCACATAGGTTTTCTATTTTTTTGGTGTACTCTGGACTAGAAACTGGTGCTCCAGCATACACATGTGCCCAAAGTCGAGCTGTCTGTTTGAACATTTCTGGATTTTGTTTGTACTATATGAAAACAAAATGAAACAATATTTGGTCCAAATAAAACTATCCAATAGTACTTAATAACAATTATTTCAGGTGCTAATACTTAAAAAGCCTGACCAAACTTCCAGGTTCTATCACATAAGGAATACACACAAAATGCTCCATGATCAGCATATAAACGAGCATTCTAGATTTGAAAGTTGGGGAACAAATCTTGACTCCAAAACTCACTAGCTGTAAGGCTCTGGGAAGACCCTTTTACTTCTCTTGGGAGCTATTTCCTCATCTAAAAAATGTAGATAATAATGACATAAAATACCTACCTCATAAGCAAACTGCTCTGCAAATCTTAAAACACTACATAAACGTGTTACTATTAATACTTCATTATGGGTCTCTCTCTTGTGCCAGAGAATACAATCTCAAAGTTTTCCATCCTGTGTAATTCAATTATAACTTAATAAATTCTTCACAAATCATGTGGTCAGTGCACTGTGGGTAAATCTCAAATTATTTTTTTTAAGTTCAAAGGTACCATGGTATCCTTAACTTTGTCCCTCTATTAAGTGATCGCCATCCCACATTTTTTTCCAAATCATATACTCTCAATAAAATCTTTTACTGCACTTTCTTAGGAGGAAATCTTAACAGGGTTATATATACTAGGCATCTTTTCAGTCTTAAGTTGTTTGCAATTTTTATTTTTTTATGATAAGTGATTTTCATTAGTACTTTTCATGACCCAAAACAAAAGAAAAAATAATGAAAAACCTGAAATGTTGATTATAAAATTGCTGCACATAAATATTTTTAAAGTGAAAAATCACTAAAGGAGGAAATACAGCTCTGTGGCAGTTAAAGACTGGCAATGACTATCAAAATTAGCAAACTTAAAAAAAAAAAGGGTGCCTAAAAGCTAAAATAATAATACAATGAAGATTTAAGTTTCTAAAGACTTTTCTTCTATTACCATTAACTTGAAAAAAAGAATCACTAACATCCAAACACTCCTTGAATATTATGTAATGAGTATTTATCATGGCTGATTTCAACATTTATTATAGTTCAAATCTCAACAAGAACATTATGCACATGTAACTCGCTTCAAGGAAAATGGCAATGCTTTTGCAAACATTTGGGAATAAGTACATTAAATAATTTTCCTATAGTTGAAAAAAAGAGACAAATAGCCTGCATTGTAACGTAGATCAAATGGCTTCTCAAAAGAAAACAGTGTGAATTAATTAATTTCAGCAAATCTTTATTAAGGACCTACTATGTCAAGCACTGTGCTAGGTCCTGAGGGTACAAAGGAAAATATATAAGCAGCATTCCCTGCCTTCACAGAGGTTCCATTCACATGCATGAATACATCTACATAAAATGAATACAAGAGATTTTAAGAAGTAGGGAGTGCATTCCAGGCAAGGATGTCAGCCAGTACAAAGGCTTAGAGACAGAAAATGGAATGTTGCATGTGAGGAGCAATAAGGGCAGTTGGGCTAAAACACAAAGTTCAGGAACAGAAGTAAATATATGCCATGGGTTGAAAAGGTAGACTGAGGACAGGTTGTGAAAGGCTTTAAAACACTAAGAGAAGTTTGCATGGAATCCTGAAGGCACAAGGGAATCACTAATTATTTTAGCACATGCATGGTTGATAAGTTTTAGGATGTGAAGAGATCAATGCAGATACAAACTGGAAGAGCAGCCTAATAGCGACGAGGACCTAAACTAGGATAGGGACTAAATGAGTGGAGAGAAGGGAAAAAACAGGTGAGAGATGCTGTCGAAGTCAAAAGGCCAAGATCAGCCAACTGATGAAAAAGGAGAAGGAGGTTAAGGGAGAGTGAGGAGTCAAAAAAAAGTTCAAAGCAACCAGGTGACAGAAAGGATGGCATGTACCCTCAACTGAAATAGGGACATTTGGGAGAGGATGGTTTTGTTGAGTTGAGAATAAATAATGCAAATGTGCAATGGATCCAGGTTTAATCCTGTGAGTTTCCAACAAATCTGTTTAGCAACATATAATCAAGCGAGAGCAGATAAGGTTGACGGTAGGAGATGTTGTTAAAATATGAATCTCAGTAAGAAAATCAAGGGATCCAAGAGTCAATTACAGTATAAAGTTAATTAGGTTTACTACTGGGTCCAGATTGGGAAAAGAAAAAGAGTACAGTTAGCAGAGATGGCGGCCATGGAGAATAATTAGGGATGGAGGGGCTCCTGGCGAAGATAAAAAATTGGTTGGCAGTAAGGTTCAAGAACAATGGAACAATCTGATAAAGAAATTTTGGAAGTTTTTGACTTGTAGATGTTAGTGACAACAATGTTACAGCTATCCTTATGTGGGCTAAGGAGAACAGGAGTGGGTCATGTGAGTTGAAGACTTAGAGAAACTGAAAAAGTATGTGAGAGCACATCAACATGTATTTTTTAAAAGCAATTTAAAAACCTTAATTACACAAAAATGAGCATAGTAAATGATAATCTAGTGCCTACTGCTAATTTAACTGCCAATTTCATACCTAGGGCCCATCAAGTCTAAGATCAAGGAAATGCCCTGAATGAATACAGAAGCTGGTTGATACTAATGGTCATAAACTATTATCTGCCTCATTCACATCAAATTCATGCACAACTCAAGACATCACCTTTGTGATATCATTGGTGCACTTCAAGAATAAAGGACAAACAACAAACAGGACAAAAATAAAAAAAACCTTAAGGCTATGTTAAAAAGTCTAAATTAAATATTCCTTAACTTGCTTCTTAACGTATGCAAGTTATTTATTTCAGCACTTTACTTGGGCAGTTATCACCAACCAAAAAAGTGATCCTTCATTCTGTCCTACAGTTATTAGATCATTCACCTGGCATACATATAAAATATAAATCATATTTTGCTCCAAACTCAAAAAATTCTATGGGGGAAGTCTGTTAGAGACAGTAAGTATGATTTTCATGACATGGAATTTCCATAACAGTATCAATCGCATGAAAACTGCAAATGATACTGATAAGGAAAAATGTGTAGACATAAGGAACTCATCACCTACCTCAGAATTTTAAAAGACATGCAAAGACAAGAATAAGTAACTGATAATGAATTTTTAAAATAATATAATCCTTGAAAGATGTCAACTATATCAAAGTCCAAAACACAAAGTGAGGCACGCAATAAATGCTAACAAAAATAAAAGGCTATTTTAAAGCTATATAATAAGCAATGGGAAAATTAAAAGATTAGAATGCTGTTTCAGGTTAATGTTATAACAGAGATGAAAGAGCTAATTGAACTTTCCATATGTTTTCTGATACAGAAAACACATTTTGAAGTACTAAGCACAGAACATAAACAAAAGGGTTGGAGGGATGTTGAAAATCCTAACAGAGAAGAAGGTAGGAGAATATCCAACAGTCAGTTTCAATCACCAATTCCATATAAACTATGTAGCAGAGTGCTGAAATAATATGGACATGTGCTTATTTAGTTGTTGACAGTGGCCTCTGAAAAATCTAGAAGAATAGAAGGGATGTCTTAGGAATTTAGCTAATGTTTTTATTTTTTAATCTTCTAAATTAATGAAAAGGAGACCAAGGATTTTTCAAATTATATCTGAGTATAGCATGAGTGATTCCTAAAAAAATTAAGGCAAACATCAATGAATATTGGGAAATATATGGACTGATTAACATAAACTTTTATCATGTGGAGGAAGAATTAGGAGTTCCAAGGAGCAGTAAGAAATGGTTTTTTGAGTATCCATAAGAAATTTTAAAAATATACAGGAGAGAGGCAGGAAATTCAGAAGAGATTATGAATAAACAAGGGAATGTTTATATTATGGTATTGAATTTAACATCTGCTTTTTTAAAAGAAAATCTGTAACAGTATATATTTATGGTTTCAAACCAAACCTCTTTTTCTGTTCATTTTATATAGAAATAGTTGTGATTGCTTGTTTAAAAAGTTCATAATAAAAGATAATAGGGAGGGGGAGTATAAACACCTAAGCACTCTTTAAAAATTTAGTCATTTCTGCACCTGTTTTTATTTAAGTAGGTATTTAAAGGTACAGATCATCTTCCTTATCTTTCTATTTCCCTCCAGGTCATGCAGCTCTTATTAATAATGATAGCACCTAGCATGTACATAATCATTTAAAGTTTGCAAAGAACTTTACAAATATCACATTTGATATTAACAACTCTGAGAATGAGATGAAATTGTAAGTCCTATTTTTTTATAGAAGAATAAAATGAGGAAGACTGAGGCTAAGTAATTTGGCCAATAGTCACACAGCTAGTAGTAAATGAGGCAGCACTAACTAATAGTCTTAGTAAATTGCTAAGAGCTCAATAAACTGAAGAAAGAAAGAGAAAGATAGGTAGAGGAAAATCATTGTTTGGAGGTGGACAAAGCAAAGCAGTTTCAATATGGAAAGAGGTATCAACTATATTGATAATATCACTGTTAAAGGATACAGTTAAGAAAAAAGACAGTTTCATTAGGAAACAAAGAGGTCTTCAGCTCTTTTGATAATGATGTTGGAGTAGTGTGGAAGCCAGACAAAAGAGGATTAATTAAGATGGCTAAGGAAAAATAAGACATGAGAAAGTAGTACAAAACTAAAGGAAGATGAGGAACCAACAAGACTGAAAAGGAGACAACAGGACAGAATCAGGTATTTAATAAGAACAGGGAAGGAGGAAAGGATTATGTTGGAGAGGGTAGAAAGATCATGAAATGGATATGAAGATCAAACAGAAATATATTTAAATGTGTGGTGATGTTAACCATGATGCCCTTAATTTTTTTGGCTATTGCTGTGGGAAAAATAGTAACATACGCAGTTATTAAACTTATACCACAATGGACTTTCAAAGAGCATTTCCAGAATGAATAAAATAAAATCAACTTTGTATTTTAAAAATAATTTAAAACTTGTGAATATACATGTCTCTAAAAACCTATATAATAAATGTACATTAAGGCATACTTATATCTACACAGTGTTTTACACTTTCCAAAGAGAACTGCTATTCATACTAGATTATAAGCTACCAGAGGGAAAAGTATAATGCCTTAGTTCTGTATTGCCCCAATGGCATAATACATTGTAGCAGCATTCAATAAATGCTGAGGAAATATTATATTCATATGATCTTTTAAAATTTTTATGAGGAAGGAATAGCAAGCACTGCTATCATCATTTTATTGATGAATCATAAGATCATAGATTTAGAGTTCAATCCCTCTTATTTTAGAGATGAGGTAACTAAGCAGACAGCTTGGATTTGAATGCAAGTCTCATACCTGATTTCAATTCCAAGACAATTTCCATGAATCTCAGGATCATAAATCAAGAGTTGGAAGATGACCTCTCAGGCCATCTATTTTACAGATGAAAAAACATAGGTGCAAGGGAGATGCAAGAAAACTTACCCAAAATCACTAATCTAAAAAGGGTTGCTAGGTGGCACAACAGATTGAGCGCCAGCCCTGGAGTACAGAAGATTCATCTTCATGAGCTCAAGTCTGGCCTCAGACACTTAGCTGTGTGACTTTGGGCAAGTCACTAAACCCACTTTGCCTCAGTTTCCTCAGGTATAGAAGGAGCTAAAGAAGGAAATGGCAAACCACTCCAGGATCTTTGCCAAGAAAACCCCAAGGGGATCACAAAGAGTCACCCATAACTGTATTTCAATGAAAGGAATAGGGTAAGCATCATTACAGTCGAGGGCCTACTCTATGTTCTCCCTTCTCTTCATCTACTAACCCTGACCAGTATATTCAGAGCTCTCTGAATAACATGAACAACAATGGAAATCTTTCTTTTTACTGTGTCTCCTCTAAAAGAATCATATAATCTTAGAAATGGAAGGGCCTTTGGAAATTCTACAAATTCCTCACACCAAAATGGCTGTCTTCTGACTTTTCCTCTTAGTTTTGCCTCTACTTGCCTATATTCTGATCATTTCATCTGCTTTTCCCATGTTAGATACAAGAGATGTATTGCTTGGTTTTGCTGAACTTTTTTTTTCTGTCTTAGCAACAATGGACGGCTAATTGGGAAGGAGAGGGGATGATGTAAAAACAAAAATATGTGATGTAAAGACCCAACAATCCTCAACAAGGTTACAACTCCACTGAGAGATGAGAGTCATACTACTTACTAGACAATACAGCAAGATCATATATAATTGAGTGCTAATCTGGTGTGGCACAAATTAAGTGCTACAGATCTGACCAGGCTACTCCTCAAAATTCCAATTTGAAATTCAAGGTTATCCACAATCTGGAATTACCTTATCTTTCGAGCTTTATCTCCTAGTACTATCTTTCCATGAACTCTAAATTCCAACCAAACTAATCTACTTTCTGTCTTCAGAATGTTCCTTTCATGTTCTCTGTCACCTCCATGGCTTGTCTGTTAATACTACTTACTACTATGGTTGCCCTAATGTGCAAAGTGGGCTTGCTCTACTTCTTTAAATTTGCTGTCAGTTCCTTCAGGAAGTGTTTCTTGATCCCCTTGCATAGTAATGACTTTCTCTCCTAATCAATACAAATGAAAGTCCAGGAGACAACTTAAATGCAGTTATATTTTCCAACCTTCCTGTCTTACAAACTCCTCTCTGCCAAAGGTACCACCATCTTTCCAAGCTTTCTGGAAAAACACCTCAGCGTTAGCCTCAACTTCTTACACTCCTTCATCTAAACAGTTTCTGTCAATAGACGGACCATTCTCCTAGTAAAATCAGCTTTAAAAAAATCAAATTAGTGAGTAGAATTAGATCTTTTTCTCCTTTATTCACCACCTTCATTCACACAAGTTATTCACTATTCTTTAAAAATGTCTTTCTGCCTTTCTTCCATTTTCCATAGTCAAGTCCAGGTCCCCACTACATCTCATACATAAATTAGTGTAAAAGCCTTATATTTGACTTCCCTTAATTCTCCCTTCCTGTTATTTTCTCAATACTGCTGCCAGATTTAATCATTAAGCAGAGTTCTACTCACATCCCACTTCCAGAAACAGTTTTACTCTGTATCTCTGTACATTGGTCTCCAACAGCTCTTTATTACCTACTACAGTAAATTTAAACTCTTCTGGGCCAGCTTAGTGACTTCAGTAATTGCCCCTATCTATAAATGCTTCCTTCCCACTTTGGACCTGCACTTATTCTCTGCTTAATCAGGCAGGTATTATTGTCTTCTGAAGACAATGTTGAGTATTCAAACACTGCCCCTCCCACTCATGCTTTTCCTACTGCAGTTTTACTAAATTATTTCCTTTTTTCTTACTTAAAAAATCCATGCAAATGTAAAAACAATCCACAATTACATAGTGCATTTAGATCTACACAATTTTTTTTTGAGACAGGTGTTGTTCAGTCATTTCAATCATATTCAACTCTTCCTGACCTCATTTGGGGTTTTCATTGCAAAGGTACTGGAGTGGTTTGTCACCTTCTTCTCCAGTTCACTTTACAGATGAGGAAATGAGGCAAAGAAGGTTAGATGACTTGCCCATAATTACACAGAAAATGTCTAAGGCCAGATTGATGCAGCATCCTGACTTCACACCCTGCACTCTATTTACTATGCCACCTAGCTGTTCCCATTCCAATTTTACACATGAGGAAAGTTAAGGTCAAAATGGTTAAGTGAATTGACCAGTGTCAAGGAGTACATTTCTGAGCCTGAATTCAAACAGTCTCTCCTAACCTAAAAAGTCTACACATTAGAACATGATAAGCATAAATATGTGATAACTAAAAATGTAAAGATCTAAAAAAAGACACTTAAGCAGCAAATCTGTAGATTTGTATTTACAACGCAAGATAAAAATGTGAATAAGCAATGACCTAGGCAATTCTGAAGGCAATGTTTAATATGTTTATAAATAATGACTATCTAACATAAGTTTCTTAGGTGCAGAGATTATTTCATTTTTCTCTTTGTGTCTTAGAATAATGCCTCACATGTAGCTGATATTTAATAAATGTTTTTTGGATTGTATGCATAAATATAATCGAGGAAAAAATAACTCTGAATGTAATACATGGAAACCTTATTAAGTCTACGAAATAAAGTAGAATTTGTGTAAGACACATACTTTTCTTCCCTATTCATAGGGTTTAATTAGTAAATTAGCAAAAGTGTTCAATGACTTCACAGCTGACTCATAAAACTGGTGAAACAAAGCCCAGTACAAGAAAAGCAGTACAGCAAGGTTTCAATATAACTGCTTTTCAAAATGAATAAAACTGGTCTATAAACTGATTTCAGGCATCTAGGTGATGCAGTGGATAGAATACTGGGCTTGGAATAATCAGGAAGACTCATCTTCATCAGTTCAAATCCATTCTGACACTTACTAGCTGTGTGACCTTGGGCAAGTCACTTAACCCTGTTTGCCTCAGATTCCTTATCTTTGCCAAGAAAACCACAAATAAGGCCATGAAGGGTCAGACACAACTCAAACACCTTAAGAATAACAACAATAAACTGATTTTACCCTTGACTGGAGGTTCTGAGCACATAATAGCTAAAAATTAGTACTTATTATTCTGCATATACTATTAAATATAAAATAGAATAAAAACCATAGGTGAGCAATAAATTTTGCATCTAGGATTTAAAATGCTCAAAAACGTAGATCAAAACAACTTTAAAATTTGTACATACAATAAAATCTGCTAACTTACCCAAAAAAGCAATGACAATATCCATTATGAGAATTAACAGTAAATTCAATAATTTTGCTCAAATAAAAAGCTTACACATCATCCACTCTTTGCAGAGTATTAGTTATACAGAAGTATTTTTAACTCTATTACTACAATACAATAGACTGTTAACTGACCAAGATTCATTTTCAAATTTGAATTCCATATATCTAGTTTAGGAAATCAATCGCTATTCAGTGAATTCTAGTTAGGAATAGGTAAGTTAAATTTCCACAGTCATATCTAAGAGATTACAGGAATAAAGAATAAATCTACTCCAAAGTTCATCTCATCATAGCATTATAACTGGCAATCTTTTTAAAGAACTTTTAAACACTAGAGTAGAGAAAACATATGTTAAGTGTAACTTTCATTTAATAAGCTTAAATAAATTATATATCAAATATATTTATTACATATGATTGTATATAATATGTGTAACTTATATATTATATATAATTATATATTATTTATTATATATACTATAATAAATTAAATAATTTTTTATATATTATATAAAGTGCAAAAGAGCTGCTTCTTCTTTCTTTCTGTTAAAAGCCTCTGATACCTTACCTGATTTGCTACTACTGCATCTTGTGGATCATCTGGTTCTGCGGCTGCCAATAATGCTTGTAATGACAGCAAAACTGTCCTCAGAGTCATTGCTGCTGCCCTAAAATTCAATACAAAAATTTTTATTGAAAAAAGTCTGTACATTCCAGCAAGACAATAAGAAAAAAAAAAACAAGTTTTCTGGAAATTAATAACATTAATAAGATTTTGAAATTAAAGGTAACTTTTCTATTTTTTCTTTTACATTTGAATACTCCTTAACATTTTTCAACGATCTCTAATATGTCGTCTATTGGGTTTTCACAACCCTGATGTGAAACAAGGGGTTGATCTATTATTACTTCCATTTTACAGATGAACAAACAGAGCTCAAATGTTAAGTGACTTGCCCTAGAGATCATATAAGTGGAAAAGTCAGGACTAAATGCATAATCTCCTCGTTCTACAACCAGTATCTTTTCCATGATAATAGAGGTCTGCAAAATACAGCAGCTTGTTTTTATAATGCCTTTAAGTGAAAAATAGGTTTTATATTTGTAAAAAGCTTTATGGTATTTTAAAATATAAAAACTTACCTCTCAGGCCTTACCAAAAAAATAGAAAGCTCACCATACTCTACCATATGATTATGAGATCATACCATAAGTAAGTTATTAATTTTCCTGCTGATTTTACATTCTTTTCTACTTAACCTTTTCTATTTCAGAAAATTTTTAGTCAATATGAATTGACCTTATGTTTTACCCAATTATCACTAATATCTTGTGTGACAGCAAAATTCTGGAAAGCAGGCTGCTTTGGGCATTCTTTACTGACTTCCTAATTCAGTTCTGTAGGCAGAAAGCCAAAACAAAGTGATGGAAAACTCCTAACTACCTCTTTTATATTGACTTTTTAATGGTACCTGTGAAAAATAAGCTAAGCTAAGCCAAGTTTTGAAATATTTCGAAGAAAATCTGAAAACACCAGATGACATTCTAAAACGGTGTTTAGAGATGGGGAAAAAGAGCTAAAACAAAGAATAGGCTATCCACTCAAAATAACTTTTACGTGATAGTTCTAATAATTTTGATGAAATTAACATTGTTACTTTAAAATCATCTACCAGTTGAGCAGGAGTTACTAGTAATTATTCCAAAAAATATTTTAGACAATATGATATCCTTA